GTCTGTCAAATAAATAAATAAAATCTTTTAAAAAAAATTAAAAAAAATGGATGAAAACCTGCTCTGTAACTCTAGAGCCCCACCATCAACACACACACACACACACACACACACACACGTGCACTCACACACACGCACATGTAACACATGTACACACTCACACACACACATAGCAAGAAAGAGTTTGGAAGATTTTAAGGGGACAGTGTGGCGGGACAGAAAGAACCTGGGGAGGAGAATTCTGAGGAGGAGGACTGTTGCCAGGCTTTGAGCAGGTAACTGGACCCCCTTTGGGGGAGGGGGGACACTGCCGCTCACACCCAGCCCCAGGGAGAGAGGCTTTGACATATGCTTCCTGGAATTGGAGAACCAGCGCCTGACTCATGCCTGAGATCGTAGTCAGGATCTGACTCTGGCCTGGAAGAGAGACAAGCTGACCTGTAGCTTTGGAGGTGAGACCACTAGGGCCTGGCCTGTGCCCCGCGGTTGATCAGAGTTAGTGTCGCACTGATGTGGGCCAGATGGGAAGAAAGCCACAGTGGTCATCTTGGGTCTTGTCCAGTAGGGCTGCCAGGAGAGCCGCAAGAGCCCTGCTGGAAGAGGCGGGAGGTCTGTGAGGACAGTGTCACGAGCAGGCAGCGGGATAGGGAATCTCATCCCCGCAAACCTTGGAGTCGCCCTCAGCTTGCTCTTACAGCAGCTCCGTTTCTGGAATATATCGAGAAACTGGTCACCTCCCCCGCTGGTCCTGGTCCTGTTTACAGTTATCGCTCACACGGGGCCTGCAATAGTCTCCTTGCTCAGGACTTCTCCTCTCCCCGGATTCCCCATTGGCCTTTCTTCACTTAAAAGCCAAAGTGATTTTATTAAAAAGAAGTCATATCATTCCTTTTGCTTAAAAACCCTCCAGGGACTTGTCATCTCATGCAAGAGTAGCTCTGATCTAGCTCCCAGCTTCCTTCCTAACTTCCCCTCCTGTCCCTTCTCCTCCCTGCTTGTTCTGCCACGATCTCTTAGACCCTGGGCTATCCCAGCGATGGCCAGGTGTCCTCCAGCCTCTGGGACCTGTGGTGACCCTTGTCTCCGACTGGAACGCCACCCTCCTCTACTCCACATGCCTTTCTTGCCCAGCTCCTTCAGCTTTCTGCTAAGCACCATCTTCCCAGGGAGACCTCCCACCCCACCCCACCCCGCTGGCCTGCTCATCCCCTGACCCTCCCCACGCCCTCCACCACTTCATTGTCCTCCCCAGAACTCATCACCATCTGGCACACTGCCCACGAGTCTTTGGTTGTTAACAACTTTCTGCCCCTGTAATGCACGTCGTCACTGTGCTCCAGGACAGAAACTTTGTGATTTTGTTCAAGGTTGTATTTTTAGTTCCGAGGATGGTGTGTGCCACACTGACTGCTAAAAATCTTCTGAATGAGAGAGTGTAGGAAATGAAGGGCGCAGAGAGGGGAGGGACTAATCCAGCTGAAATGACACAGAGTCATCCTGTGACCAAAGACTAAAAAATGTTCATTGGAATTAGCAATGAAAAGGTCAGTGGTCCTCAGAGAGGACAGCTTCAGTCGACGAGTAGGAACGGAAGCCAGATTGTGGTGTTCTGAGGAGGAGTAAAGGAAGGAGGGAAATGAGTTCCTTGGTGGGAAATATTGGTTTCCAGTATGTTTGGGTGAGTGGAGCGGGAGACAGAGAGGCCCAGAGACATATTTAAAGTAAAAGAGACCAGGCACCTCTGTGAGCTGAGAGGAGAAAGCCAACAAAAAAAAGGAGTTGAAGATTAGGAGAGGAGGCAACTTGGGTGGCGTTTCAGTGACACAGATGACAGGACACGCCTGAATAGTCATAGGAAGTGTTTCTGACCCTCAAGACTGAGGGGAAGGGAGGGAGGAATGGTCGTAGACAGTAGTTCAGTTGGCTGGCAGGAGGATGAGAAGCTGAAACAAAACCTTTGAAAAACCTCTCTTTGCTTGAGGAATAGGGAAGATCATCTCCCAAAAATGAAAGAGAAAATGTCCGGTTGGCAAGGGTGCTCGGGGAGAGCAATGAAGGTTTGGAATTGTCTTTGAGAGAAACGGGAGAGCAGAGGACAAGCAAAAGAGTTCCTGCACAGTCCCGAGGACCCATAAGGTTGGAGACCATGAACTTAGAGTTGAGAGTTTTCCCCCAGGAGCAGTCAGTCACCTGGTGTTACAGGATTTTTTGTTCCCTTAGTGCCCGAGGTTCTTGGTCATGCCGCTTTGAAGAATGGAGAGGTAGCCCAGACGAAGAGTGGTGGGCAGCAGAGCAAAGTTTACAGAGCAAATGTATAAAGCTCCTGGAGGGGTGCCTGGGTGGCTCAGTCAGTTAAGCATCCGCCTTCAGTTCAGGTCACGATCTCAGGGTCCTGGGATCGAGCCCCACATCAGGCTCTGTGCTCAGCAGGGAGCCTGCTTCTCCCGCTCTCTCTGCCCTTCCCCCCACCTTGGGCTCTCTCTCTCCTCTCTCAAATAAATTTTTAAAAAATCATAAATAAATAAAATAAAGCAAGCTCCTGGAGAAGGATGGGGCCCCGAGAGGGTTCCCCTCAGAGTTTCTAAGTTTAGGGTTTTTTGGTTTTGTTTTTTATAAAAGCGCTCTTTTGCAGAGCTATTTTAAGTAACCAGGCTGTGCTGACTCGTGCCAATCAGGGCTCTGGTCACGTATCTGTCTATCTATTACGATAATGGCTGCACACGGATGGTCTTTTGGGGCTGATATCTGGGGGTTTATGTCTTAACTGCTCCTTGCCCATGATATTGACAAGGGCTTTGTGGTTAATTGTTTCATTTTAGGATGATATGCAGAAGTCACTTCTGCAAAGGCTGCAAAGTAGAATGTTAGTGCGGGTCCTGTCTCAGCTGCAGAACAGGATGTCAGTGCTGTTTGATCCTGGCTGTCCCGACTCCATCTGTTCTTGTTGGGGACCCTGGCTCTGACTACCTCACTGTCCAGCTAATTCCTAACACTGGCAGTGGAGAAGATGAGGGGAGTCAGATGCGTGCCAGGCCCAAGGTGCTAGATGTTAACACTGAAAGTCACTGTGGGGAGCATGCAGCGGGGAGGTGCATTAGGGAATGGTGTGGTTAGGGGGCTCCTTAGGGTGCACTGGAGAACTTTCACATTCACTCCACAAGAGAGCCAACATTTGGGTGCCTTCTGTAGAAAGGCTGTGGATGGCCATACTAGCCAAAGCAGTAGCCCCAGCCAGGAGATATGTGACTATAGCAGTGGCCAGACGAAAAGGAGATAGACACTTGTCTCTTACTCCCTTCCTCTGCTCTGACACTGAATAGAGCTGAGATCTGAGGAAGGAGCTTTGTCTCTTAAGTAGGTCAAAGACAACCTCCAGATGAGGGAAGGAAAGAGAACTAAAAGCAGGCCAGGGAGGGAGAGCAGCCAGCACAAAAGCCTAGGAGTGGGATAGCGCCAGGGGTACGGGGACTCCTTCTAGTGATTCCGAACAGCTGATGTGTGTTGGGGTGTGTCACTGGAGACCGGAAGGAAGGTTGCACTTAGACTGGGCATGACGTTAGTGTGAAAACACTCCATCCGCTCTATTGCCTCAACTCACTCCCAGATTTTCTTTCGCTTTGATCTCTGTGCTGTATTTTTAAATATTTCTTTGTACCTATCTTCAGTTCTGTCTTCTTTTCAACGGGAGTTAATCTGCTGTTGAAGTCAGCAATTATTTTTTTAATTTCAGTTATTTATTTTTCATTTTTAGAAGTTCTACTTGGAATTTCTACTTGGTTTTGTTTTTATAATCTCTTTCTTATTCCTCACTCATATTTCAAGCTTGCATGTTTTTAAGCTTATTAAGTATATCAATGGTTATTTTATCCTCTGTGTTTTGTAATTGAAATGAATTACCATGTCAGAAGACTTTGCCGGTGTAATTCTGGTGGCTTTTGTACTTGTAGGCACAGTGCATAGTACAGAGTCCATCCTCAATATATTTGTTACATAAATGAACGAATGAAAATATGTGGGAGGTGTTGGAATAAAAAGAGCAAATGAAACATTAATAGGCAAATTACAGTATAGTGCTGTAAGTCATATTCTAAAAATATAAGCAAAGAGCTTTAAGAACGAGGACAGTACACTGACTGCCTGAGAAAGAGAAATGGTATGTGTCCTCTTAGGTATTCCAAAGGTATTTCCAAAGGATATCCTTTGGTATTTCCAAAGGATATCCTTTGGTATTTCCAAAGGATATATGTTACATGATATAAGAAGTTGTCATAGGTGAGGTTTTTTTCTTGGCTTACTGTGGTAAATAGAGAATTTCTACTTCATGAGAAGTAACACTTCATCTGAATTCACAGTTTAAGTGATATTCTCAGGTTCATTGCAGTGTTGCAGACTTAGACATGACTTTATACCATATTGAAGTCAAGGTCAGTTACCAGTCTGTACTAATGAGGAAAATACTGAGAATGATAAGTCTTCATCTCTTCATCATCTCTCCGTAGAACATCAGTTCTCCTGGTCTCAAATACCACCTACTTGGAACAGTGGGCACAAAGGAGACCCATCATGCTTGTGGTTGACATACACAGGAATTTTCGGGAGGAGGGAAGAGTACCAGGTGTGCTCTGGTGCCCATCTGCTTCTAGTCAGGACTGCACGTGACAGGAACTCCTCAAGAGTTCTACCCCCTTCTTCGGATTGCGCCATATAACAATACCCAGGATGCTGTCACATTTACTGTGTGCCGGGTACCACTTCAAGCATTTCCTATATTTAATTCTTGTCAAAGTTGAACCTCTGACCAATTTATCTTAATTTTGTATCCCCCAAGGGTACCCTGTAGGTTTTATTGGCATCTTAAGGTTTGGTCTAATGGTCACAGACACTTGTGCCTTCAGGCACCCGCTCATCTCCTCCAGCATGGCGTGTGCTCTGTAAAGCAGCAGACCCTCCCATGCCAGAGATCAGTTTCCATCTCAACCCTAGCCCAAGCAACAGGAAACATGGCGCTAGGTAACGATCACTGGCTTCCCAAAGACATGTTCAGCTTCAGTTTTTATAATGATAATCTATTAAGGGAAATTATGATTTTTATTGTTGGTGAAACCATAGCTATGATATAAAATTTAAAAATGAGCATCTGGTACCCATTTTACAATCCATTCTTTATGATCCATTTTCATGGCCTGAAAGTCTTCAGCTGTCCTACTTGAAGAGGTTTTTAAAGCACCTTTAAATGTGCCCATATCTCTATTTTCTTATGAGCAGTTAAGCCATTATCTTCAATTTATATTGAAGTAGTAATTATACTTGCTATATTTCATAGCCACATTTTCCAAAATATTTTTTAAACTTGGTTTCAGTATATTCTGCAGTTAAATGTGATGATATATGATGAAATGAAATTTTCAAAAACCTACAACTATGCACACACACACACACACACACACACACATTTAACACAGATCAGAGGGAGATCTAACTTAATATGATTATTTGGAGTTTCATGCATATCCTGTAAGAAAGATATATTAAGATTGTCATTGTCATGTCAAACATGTTACTCAAGTTTCACATTCAGTATCCATTTTAAATTAGTGGTTTGTCTGTTTACGTTAAACCAATATATTAATGAGTAATTCAAATCAGCCCTCTATATTAATAATTTATAGCTGTGGCATCTTGGCAAAATGTACTTCTTATCATCAGATCCTATTTCCTTTGATTAACATAACTGCAAAAGTAGAAGTTCCTTTGGTGTTACACATTTTTAAACTACAGAAAGACATATTTTGGCATCCATCTTTTGTCAGGCTTGCCAGCTCTCTGCTTTGTAGCTGTAATTGGATCCAATGTATCAGACCAACAGGAGAATTGATCACAGCAATTGCTCTGCTGGAATTAACACCCATTATTAGATTCACAATATAATGGAATATAAAATAATATGCGATGATTATAGTACCTGAAATAAGGCAGTGGAATTATTGAAAAATGAAAGAGAGTTACCAGTATAGAATGTTCCTATCTGTAGGCAAATTCTCTTAACTCAGAATTAAATCCAGTGTTCCCTTTCAAAAATGATTTCATCATCATCTCCAAACGAGCAAAAACATTTTCAGTACCTTCAACAGCATAGCTCTTCTCTTTTGTCCTTCGGCTCAAAGCATGGAGAGGTGTTGTTGGTTTTTTGGAGGGGGGAGGGGTTGTGTTTTTTTTTTTTAACCTCCTTACTTCAGGCATTTTAGTGATAGTCTATATTTAAATTTGCAGCCTGATGTCTTATACAGGGAATAAGCTTCTTCCTAAAGATAACTATCAAGAGTAATCAAACCAGCTTTACAATGACTGATGTTTCAAGGTCCTATTTTGCATTAATCAAGGATATTGGCAGGTGTAAAGCATTGTACAATAAAGAAAACTGGGTACAGTCTCATAATTTAATACTGAGCTTCTGAACCAGGAGTCTGCCGGATAGATACTTGAGAACAAAGCTCTTTGACATTCAGGTTTAAATTGAAAGAAAATGAGAAACCAGATAAAGCAAGCCAACCAAATTAATTCACTCTGTAGTCCTCTGTGCTTTTTAGTGGAATTCAGAGAAATTCTCTCCCAGACAAAGTTGGGAGGCCCTCGTGAAACAATTGCTTTAGTGTTTACAGACTATACATTTATGTGTTTTGCGTTCAACCATATAGAAATAATATTTATTGCTGTTCTCCAGAAAATCCCCAGGAGTTCCTATGGGCTTCAGAAAATTTTCCATAAATGTTGTGCATTCTTTATATGGACCCAAGAAAACATCTACCCCACAGCCCTTCCTGGGAGGAGACAAATAGGCAAAGATACCTGGGCCAGTTGTGTACTTAACTCAGTCCTCCTCCACATGGCCCTACATCTCCAAATGTGGCACCAGGGACGAAAGGAGTGACCCCTCAGAATAAACACCGGTCACTTCCCTGCTAGGGACTATTAGAAAAATTGTCAGTGAAGAAGTACTCGGTACAGCAGATTCTACCACACATTTTATTTCTTCTTTGCCCCTAGTAAAAAGAGCATTGATTTAGAATTCAGGAATCGGAGGCTTTACCCTTCCTGATCCTGGAAGTCTCAGGTTCTCGTGTATATCACAAAGGGGCTGAATTAGGATGTCCCCAGGACTTATTTCTCAACAGTTGAGTTTATTTTAATGACCAGACCGTCCATATAATGATCATTGAACTGGCATTTATCAAATGACTGTCACATACTCTGCTAGTACCTTATGGGTTGAGCAAGTTGGAGAAGATGTGTGCCCTGAAGGAGTTTGCAGTATACTGGAGGTGACATACCTGTAAACAAGAAATTATAATGAATCATAAGCAACAAATTTGTTTACTGCTACTACAGAGCTTAGGACAGTGCTGGTCACATCCTTGTACTTAATATAGCTGTCAAATGAGGGACTAATATTTGAAATAATGAAATAAGTGAAAAATATGAATATCCATATTGTATTATGCAAAAACAAAGAAAAGAGGGATTCGTTTTAGCGTGGAGGATAAAGGCTTCACAAAAGAGGTAGTATTTCCATTGAGTTTAGACAAATGAAACAATTTTTGATAGAGGAGAAGGGTAGGGATAAAGGATATTCTAGGCTAAGGGAGCAGCATGAACAAAAACAGAGAGATAGGTAAATGTATGTCTACCTAATGGACATCACCTTGGAAATTGGAAATCACATATAAAGAAGGGGAAGAGCATTTCAGGCACAAAAAAAGCGTGAGTGAAAGCTTGGTAGGAAGAGGAAACATGATAAATTTGAAGAACTGAAAGAAATTAAGCATGGTAAGAACAGACAGGTTTAGGAAGAATTGTGCTACAAAATGGGGCAGCAAAGCAGAGGTGTGGTCTGTGGTGTCCTGGCCCCAGTGTCACAAAGCTAGGAGACAATAGCTTTATAACTGGCCCAGCCTATCCACTGGCTACTCAGCATCCATCCACATTCTTCTACGTATATTGGAACATCCAAACAACAAAAACATCTCTCACTGTTTGTCCGAATGAAGAGATCCTCTCCCCGAAATAATAAGGCGCAAAGTGCTCACGCTCCTCTTCCTGAAACTTTCTGGAGTTCGGTGGTAGGAATTGACTTTTTTTTCACATTGCCTTCCCCTCTACAGTGTCTGGGGGTTTGGTTGCTTACTGCATCAGCTGTCCCTTTTCTAACAATTTGTTGACATCTCCCATCTTCTCTTGTCCTCTCTTCTCTCCTGTTCTATTTGCCCTTCTAGGTTTATACCTCTTTGTTCCACTTCTGTCATTTCAGTGGGTTTTGGGGAAGGAAAGGTAATAAGTGAATATATCTTGTAGTAGTGCTGTGAATGCCCCACCCGGTATTCTCTGGGCCTGCCTCAGGACTACTGCAGTCCCGGTGATTGGTTCCCATATGCCACAAGAGTGCCTATGTTTCCCAAGTTCTCAACCAGAGTTTCCTCTAGAGCCCAGAGACTTGTTCAGCATAAGCACAGGACAGCCTGGAAGGGCCACTGATTTATTATTCATGGGGGCAACACTCAACCAGTGAAGGCGAGAGACTCCTTCCCATTCCTGAAAGGACAGCTTTGCAGCAGGACCAAACCTCTTTTGCCCACTATGGTCATCTGTCCATTAATACACTCTATTGACTTTATCCCTATTTTGTTTGACCTTTCCCACTCCCTGCTGTGTGCTCTTGGGATCAGTGCCCAGATCAGCTACCTGGGTCCAAGTCTGTTTCTCAAAGACTGCTTCTGGGGGAACCCAATCTGAAACATGTTCAATTTACGTTATTATACAAACATATTCTTTTATGTTCACTCACTTATTGAGAAACTACAATCTCTTAGACATCATGAAATTGAACTGGTAACTTATATTATTAGTTATTTCTATTGTTTGTCAGACATATACTTTTTTTTAAGATTTTATTTACTTATTTGGCAGAGAGAGAGATCACAAGTAGGCAGAGAGGCAGGCAGAGAGAGAGAGGGGAAACAGGCTACCCGCTGTGCAGAGAGCCCAATGTGGGGCTCAATCCCAGGACCCTAAGATCATGACCTGAGCTGAAGGCAGAGGCTTAACCCACTGAGCCACCCAGGCGTCCCTGTCATACATATACTTTTGTGTGTATATACATATGTATATGCAAGAATGTATATATATTTTACCTATCTACCTATACAAAATCCACACTTAATCTTACGTTCAATGACAGTAGAAACTATGACTTGCACTTAGGCATGGCTCCAGAGTCTAATATAGTCCAAAGCGAACAGAGCTCTATAGACTCTCTAGAGCATATAATTAGTGGGAAAAATGAATTTGTAAAAAAAAAGAATTTACAGAAATGAATATTTACTATGCAGAAAAGGGAAGGATTTGGTAGATGTGATTAGAAATAGTTTCCAGAAGTAGTTGAGATGGACTTTGAGAAGTTGGTAGGGTTAAAAATAGATAAAGGAAGGGGAGGGCATTCCATGGTGGCGTGCAGGGTGAGAAAGCGATGGTAGTAAAGATAAAGAGCCATGGAGAATGAAACTAAAGGGACCTGAATGAATGTGGGATATGTGAGTGAGGAAGAGAGCACCTGACCAGAGGCTAGTTTCCTGTTGAGCAGCGATAGAAAACAAGCAATAGAATAACAATAATGGGAAAAGAAGAAATGGCTGAAGGTGATCAAAAGGTACAAACTTCCAGTCATAAAATAAGTCGCGGGGATGTAATATACAGCATGGTGACTGAGGTTAACAGTGCTGTATTGTATATATGAAAGTTGCTAAGAGAGTCTTAAAAGTTTTCATCACAAGAAAAAGCTATATAACTGTAGTGGATGTTAATGAGATTCAGTATGGTGATCATTTTACAACACGCATCACATCACTATGTGGTGCACTTGAAACTAATGCAGTTATATGTCAACTGTAGCTCAATTTAAAAAAAGAATAAAACGAAGTTATTATTAGTTGGAAGGCAGCAGAGGTTTCTAGATAATATGTATATAAATGGAAATCAAGTTGGAGGGTTTTCAGTGGGTCCATTGATGAAGAATGAAGCTATTGGTCAGGGCCATGCTCCCCAGAAACTGGAAGGATTGGCCAGGAGAGTATTTGCAAGATACAAGCCTGCCACCTTCCACTTGGCATTTAGCAGCTCTCCAAACCCTGTGGTACGGCTGATGCCCACACCTAATCCTCCAGACCTTGTAGAGCCCATGCAGGTGGGGTAGACTCTCTTCACTCAGTATCCGCCTCAGCAGGTACGTTAGTTTTCTGAAGTGACTATAACCAAAAAGAAAAGGAAAGGAAAAACAAAACAAAACAAAGAAGCAGCAATGGAAGGCCTTTAAAGCCCAAGAAATTTAGACTTTGTCACTGGAACAAGAGGGAGTTTTTGAAGGATTTGTGAATATTAACTACAACTAAAGCAGTGGCGGGACTGCGGAGGATTGGCTGCCCTTGTCACCCCGGAAGGGGTGGAGCAAGGTGGCGGCAGAGACCCCGTGCAGCTTTCTCTAGACTCTTAGGCCTCTTCCACCTTCTAGATAAGGAAACATTTTCCTCTGTCATCCACTCTGCATTTAAAATCATTATTTTTGAATTGTTGTCATGCTTTCTTCTTTTAGATCATAGTGTTTTGTTCATTAAAAAGATTACAGTTTAGGGGCACCTGGGTGGCTTAGTCAGTGCAGCCTCTGCCTTCAACTCAGGCCGAGATCCCAGGGTCTTGGGATCAAGCCCCACATCAGGTTCTGTGCTCATCAAGGAGTCTGCTTCTCCCTCTCCCTCTGCCCCCAGCTTGTTTTTTCTCTCTGTCTCAAATAAATAAAACCTTTAAAAAAAAAAAAAAGATTGCCAGCTTAAAAAACAAAGTCTAGGGACACCTGGGTGGCTCAATTGGTTAAGCATCTGCCTTCGGTTCAGGTCATGATCCCAGAGTCCCAGGATTGAGTTCCACATTAGGCTTCTTGCTCAGCGGGGATCCTGCTTCTCCCTCTGCCTGCTACTCTCCCTGCTTGTGCTTTTTCCCTCTATGACAAATAAATAAATAAAATCTTTAAAACAAACAAGCAAACAAACAGAAAGTCTAAGCAATCAGAAGACTGTGTTCTTTTCTTCCTGGACAATTGGGAAAGGGGGTGGATAGACTTCAGTCTGGTTTGTCTCATTGATTTTTTTTTTTTTTTTGAGAGAGTGAATGAGAGAGAACCAAGCATGAGTGGCTGGGGTAGGGGCTGGGGGTCAGACGGAGGGAGAGAATCCCAAGCAGACTCTATACCCAACCTGATGCAGGGCTAGACCTCACAACCCTGAGATCATGACCTGAGCCAAACTCAAGAGTCAGATGCTTAACCTACTGAGCCACCCAGGTGCCCTGTCTCATTGAATTTTAAGATAACTCTTTCTTTTGTAATTTTAAGTTTCTGTACTAAACATTAACATGATGGCCAGGGGCACCTGGTTGGCTCAGTGGATAGAGCATGTGACTCTTGGCCTCAGGGTCATGAGTTGGAGCCCCACACTGGTATAGAGATTACTTAAAAAAATAATAATAAAGTAAAACGATGGCTATACAGATGAGCTTATACATCCTAGCTTTGAAATTTAGATTGAGTGTTATTACGAATATTTCCATCAGAAAGTCATTGTCATTCTGAGTTATTTTACTTTACATATTGTTAAATTTTAAGATGATTCTGTTACAATAGAAAATGCTTTTCCCCCATTTTTCTCGAATGTAAAATGGAAATCAATGGAGAAATTTTTGACTATAATTAACTTCAAGGAATGCTTTTATGGAAATATGGTGATGTACACATGTACTTGGGAATACCATAAATCTAGCTTTCTACCAGGAATATATTAATATTTTTAAAAAGATTTTATTTATTTATTTGACAGATAGAGATCACAAGTAGGCAGAGAGGCAGGCAGAGAGAGAGGGGGAAGCAGGGAAACTGATCAGAGAGCCCAATGTGGGGCTCGATCCCAGGACCCTGAGATCATGACCTGAGCCAAAGGCAGAGGCTTAACCCACTGAGCCACCCAGGCACCCTTATATTAGTTTTTTTTTTTAAGATTTTTAAAATTTATTTATTTGAGAGAGAGAGAGAGAGAGAGGGAGAATGAGCAGGGGGGAGGGGCAGAGGGAGAGCCTGATGACGTGGGGCTCAGTCCCAGGACTCTGAGATCATGACCCATGTAGGAGCCCCTTATGAGATGAGAGTGGGCAAAAGGAAGATTATTATTTTTTTTTCCTTTATCCTTGTGCTTTGATTTGTTCTTTTCCTCAACAGGCATTCACTGAACACATCCTAGGGGCCGTGCTTTTAAGGAGCACAAACAGGACTCCTACTAATGTCTCTTCAGGGCCCTGTTCTCGGGTCGGGGCCAGACCAGGGAGAGACGAGATGAAATGTGTTGATCACTCACAGGGCTCCGAACAGGGCGTGGTTAAGAAAGACCAAAACAGGATAGGGCAAGGAAAGGATTAGGACAGGAGAACGTGAAACTCGAATTGAGTCTGCAAAGATGAGAAAGCTTGCAGCTGAGAGGGTTGGATAAAACAGAATTCCTGACAGAGGCGGTGAGGTCCAGTGCTGGGGCATCCCAGCAGCCCTTTTGCCCAGGCTGACCTCCGACGGTGGATGAAGAGGGGAAGGAAGGTTTTTAGAGCGAAAGGAAATTTGTTTTTCTTTAAAAACTCAGAGCCTGACCGTAATGGTGACAGCTGAAAAACGTGCGTTGTGAGGGAGGTTATGATGTCAGCCATTGACAGTGGGTTACACAGTTCCTGTACTCTCTTCTCTTCTGGGAGCTTCAGATGATTTCATCTTCCTTTTGCCCACTCTTGTCTCGTTATGCCTCTCATTTCATCAACTCTGTGTCTTAAAATAATTCTCTTTTCTTCCATATCCAGCTTCAGGTAAAACTTCTGGAGAGCAAAGCCCTAGCACTGAGTGTTGATAGCAATTGGCATCTAGAAATTTGGACCAGGCTCATAATTTATAGATTCAATAGATCTTTCTGTATCAGACCCACCTTAAATATCTGTTCCTTTCAATTCCTTCTATTTATAATAGATATTACTTCTCCGTTGCATTCCAGGTCCTTTGTTATAGCCTAGATACACTGTGGTGATAGGAATGAATGAAATGGACAAAGATTCTGACTTAATGGAACTTACATTTTGGTAATCACCACAGCGGCTCTGAAAGATTGCTCTCCCGCATAGACAAAGGGTTTATTAAAATTAGGCTGCTACCTAAAGTTGGGTTTTCTTTCATGGACTCTGCATAGACACTGGGACAAGAAGACTTTTTTTTTAATATTTTATTTATTTATTTGACAGTGAGAGAGAGAGAACAAGCAGGGGGAGCAGCGGGCAAAGGGAGAGGGAGGCTCCCCACTGATTAAGGAGCCCGATACAGAGCTAGATCCCAGGACCCTGGGATCATGACCTGAGCTGAAGTCAAACGCTTAACTGACTGAGCCACCCAGGTGCCCCAAGAAGACATTTTTTTTTCTGTTACAGGGGAAAAGACTTTTTTTTTGGTAGCTGGAGGTTCTGTAGGGATAGACCAGTATGATGTGGCATATTTTCTCTAGTTTATCTTGTAAAAGACGAATGTTTGAAGGTACTAAAAATATAGTGGTTTCAGAGACAGATAAGTGGGTGAAGAGAGAAATATTTAAAGACAAGTTATTTGAAGCTTTCCTTGTCTTGTGCTTCAGTGAGGAGAGAGAGAGAAATGGCCACCAAATGACTAAGACATCAGTAATCACCGGGGTATACTTGCCATAGGCAGGAGAGAAACATAGTAAGAAAGTAGAAACAACTAAACAGAGAATCCTGTTATGGCATTAAAAAATCTGATTTATTAAAATTGCAAGAGATTTGGGAGCGTCTGGCTGGCTCAGTCAGTGGAGCCTGAACCAGGATCATGAGTTTGAGCCCCACATGTGGTGTAGTTTACTTCAAAAAAATAAAAATTTAAAAAATATAAAAAAGTAAAATTGCAATGGACTTGGAATAGAATATTTTCCGCTGTATTTTTTGACCATAGTTTTTACTTGTTATTTTACAGATGCTGTGCCTGCTGCCTCAGCAAAGAGCCCATCTGGGCAGACAAGTGTGGACAAGAAATCGGACAAGAAATCGGACAGTACCATTACAAATACTGTAACCGAACACCCTTCGCAAATGCCTCTAGAAAAGAAGTCAGTTGCAAAAAGTTTTGAAACGTTGACAACACTCCCGTCATTTCAGTCACCGGATAAAGAGGAGTTTATCAGCCCTAATTTAAGGGTGTCAAAGTCAGAGTCTACTTTCTACAACCAGGCCTCTGTAGAGACACTTTACGTCTCTCCCTCATTTAAAACATTTAACCCAGTGAAGGAGATTCTAAGCGGTAAGGACTTTCAGAAGCCAACCCAGTCCAGCATTATTCAATTGGACGAGGAAAACCTCAAGTCTGTGACCACATGGGGTGAGTCTACACACACACACACACACACACACACACACACACACATCCTTCTTTTGAAGCATTCATCTGTTACTTCTCTGTGCTTTCTGCCCCTGTTTTTGGTTCTCCCCATCCAGTGGTATTAAAATGTATGTGCCAGAGAGAGGGACTTCTTCATTGGGAAAACACCCCTTTTATTAAAGATCCAAGAGGCACTTCGTCACTCGGGGCTCCAAGTGCTTGGTTGAAGTACAGGTTCTGAGCGATTCTAATGCCGAACAAGTTAGAAAGAACTAGCATTAAATAATAGCTTCCTGTTAGACATTTAGGTTACTTATTAAGAGACTGTATAAAAAAGAATTAGTTATTATGTCTATTGCTGTGTATACACACAATATATGTGTGTGCATGTGTACGTGTGGCCTTTTTTAAAGGGCTATACTGATTGCAAAACTGTGATGGAGAATCTCTCCCTTTTCTGTCCTATAAAACATTCAAAGGGTTGCAATATTCTTGAGCCTGGATGGTAAAGGGTAGAGCCAGTTGGGAATCCAGGTTGGTGGCAGTCAGTTACCAATCCTACCTTGTATAATTCTGCTTGCTTCTTTAAAGTTAATTAGTAAAATAATAATTTGTTTGCTCATGCATTTTGTGAAGACTAAGTCGTTTTATTGGTTCTTATGTATAATAATGCTAACTCATATAAATATTAAGTTTTTAATATAAATATTCTAAACTGCCTCAAACTGAGGTCAGAAGTGCCATATATGTACAAACAATGGCAGCCAATACGCTGAGGCTAAAGAAATTTATCTCAGTGTTAGTAAGTCAATGAATGACAGCAGATTCTCCTTGCTGTCCTTTCCAGAACTTGGGGGACCGAATAGCCTAAAAATGAACCGATTCTTAGTTTTGTCACCAAATTAACCATTTTGCAGAGACTGCCGATGTGGAAAACATGCCGTGCTGGTCACAGTGACTGTGATGGTTTTGATGCGTGGCTGTCCACTGGGAAGTTGTTACTTTGACTTCATCTCTTCCACAAATACCCCCCAAAAGTTCATTGAAAATAGTTTTTGGCCATTGCCTGTGTACCAAGTACACTTAGTTATGAAAATTAGCTGAGAGTTCCTTTAAAGCCAGTTAGCAAGGAAGACTTGCTTCTGTTTATAATGAAGTACATAGTATTGTTCTAACCTTCCCATGGACAATGCTGGTTGAAGCTGGAAAACTAAAAGCTGTTCTAAAACCCTGTAACAACCAAGGTAGAAAACACAGAATGGGTTAGGACCCTCCAGAAAAGGATTGTGATGTTGTGATATAATGAGTAATGTGTATTTGGTCTTCATCCCTGGCTCCTGGCACAGAGCTCCAAAAACCCTTGGAATTTCCTGAGTGATAGGGGCGAGAAGAATTATAGTTTTGTTATTTGTAGTAAACCCCTTCCTTCCCTTTCTGAGTTTATGCTGAGGTGACACTTGGAGGTTGGGTGCTGGTTGCCAGGGTAACCAGTCAGGTGGTGAGAGGTTTGGAACTTTTCTCCCCACCCCCTGACCTCTAGGGATGTTGTGTTATTCAATGATTTGATCAATCATATCTCTATAATGGAACCTCCATAAAAAGCCTCAGACTGTGGGGTTTAGACAGCTTCCTGGTTGGCGAACACATGAAGTTTCTGGGAGGGTGGTGTATCCAGAGAAGGCAGGAAGCTCTGGGCCCCTTCCCAAAACCTTGCCCTGCTCATCCTTCCCATGGGCTGTTCTAAGTTGTGTTCTTTATAATAAACCACTAATAGAAAGTAAAGCACTTTCCTAAGTTCCACGAGCCATTGTAGTGAATTATAAGACCCAAGGAGGGGATCATGGGTTCCCTCAACTTATAGAGAGCAGGTCAGAGATATGGGAAGCGTGGACTTTTGATTGGCATCTAAAGTACAGGGCAGTCTTGAGACTTGAGTCTTGAGATTAAGGAATTGAGCCTTAATCTCTGGGTCTGCACTAACTCTGGGTAGTGTCAGAGCGGAGTAAAATCATAGGACATCCAGGTGTCCTATACATGTCTCTGTCACATACAGAGAATGAGAGAAATCCTTGTGTGTAAAACCCACACATTTGGCATCAGGAGGTGTGAATGAAGTAGGAAACTAGTTTACTTTTAGTTGGTCCCACATTCACCTCAGTTTTCCCACCATGGATCATTTTCCTGTTGGCAGAGTAGGATGATAGACACTGAGGGAAAGTCAGAGGCCTGGACTCTCCATGGTCTCACTGACCTTGGGAGACAGGCTTGGAGTTCAGGGCCTCCCTGGTAGCAGGGACTCCAGGGGTCACTATTCCAGAGGAGAGGAAGTCACAGAGGAGAAAGCCCAAAAGTCTTTGTGTAACTTCCTACTGAGAAACGTCTGCCTCCTGCTAAAGCTGCACACGTTCTGGATGTGGTGCCAGGAGACTAAACGGGAAGCAGCTTCTAGGGCCCAACACGCTAAGAAGAGATTCTGGCTTTCTCCTGGGGCTAGGAGACGGGCTAGAGCGCAGGATCGGCCATGTCATAGCAGCTCCGGTAAGGACTCCATGCTCTCAGCCGGGGCCTCCGACACACTCCCCCATGAGCACCAGAACTACCGTCCATGGGGAAGGGCAAACCAGAACTAGACCAGCCCTCACAAATGCTGAAACCCAGCTCCAACTGGAGCAGAGTCATTCCTTTGTATCCCATCTGTCTTCTAGATGACAGCGAAATCCTTTCTTAAGAGCTCCTGTCATTTTTCGCACAAGGTTTTTGGCACTCAGAATCCAGGAGAAAAACAGACAGCAGAAACAGACCCACAGATAAGCTAGTACTGATGTTGTAAGACAGGCACTTTAGGATAACTGGGGTGAATAAGACCAAGAGCACAGAGAGAAAGATGGGGGATTTCATCAGAATACTAACATCTGTAAGGGAAGAATGATATGCAAGTTCCAGAGCGGAAACATACACTAGCCAACATTAAGACCCTGAGGGCACACTTCAGTCCTACGAAATATTAAAAGAGAACCTCAATGCTGGCTGGGGAGATGGGCAGTTCTGCGGGAAATACCGATAGGGAGGGAAACTCGGAAGGGGTGAAACCCACCCCACACTCTGTCTGTAAACTCTGCCTGGATCCTTGACTGACTGTTAAACTATATAGGGAGAAGAAGACCCCAGTGCGTTTGGCGGGGGGGCAGTCATGAGCAGTGGAAATGATAAATATGTGGGTAAATATAAACTTTAATTTTATTCTAATTTTCCAATGCATATGACTGTTTAAAGGAAAAATTTCATATTGTATTTTGGATTTTAAAATGGAGACAGAGAATATGTTCTGACCCAGCGTAAAGAGCGGCTGAATCAGGGAGCTGTTAGCGTCTCGGGCCCTGGAGTCCCACTGCCGAGGCTCACGGCCTCAGCCCAGCCGCTGATGCTCGTGTGACCTGCCTGTGTTTATGTCTTCAATTACAAAGGGGGGACAAGCTGGCGCTGCCACACACAGCTGCTGCGGGGCCTCCATGAGTTGGCAAACACGAAATGGATCCGAGTAGGATCTGGTACCAGGCGAGTGCCAGCAAAGAGTTTGCTGTTACTCCAGCGTCTATATTTTTAGTTCCACTTTTCAAGCTCGAAGCCCTCAGACCCCTCCTAACCCTCCAGATCCATCCTGGTTATCTCCCAAAAGTCCCCAGGAGATCCTTGCTTATTCTCGGGAATGAGGAAACTCTGATCTTTCCAGAAAGGGCATTCCAGGCCGAGGAGTAATGTTGTGCTTGACCAAAGAGATTTTAGGGAGCTCCGAGTCATTCTCCACAGAGCAGCCAGACAACATGAGGACTTCTACGCCCCACTGGAACCCCAGACTTCTCCCCGCATTCCTAGAGATCGAATAGCCTTCCACACTCTGTGCGGTCTAGCTTCTGCCTCTCCCAGCAGCCTGGTGTTCTGTTTGCCAAGTAAACAAATTGCTTGGCCACCTTTGTGCTGTTGTTCCCTCGGACCAGAACACTTCTGATCCACCCCTTCCCCAGTTTGCTCCTGCTCGCCCTTCAGGGGTCTGCTCAAAGAGCACTTCGGCAAGATGTCCTGACCCCGATTACTTCAAATTCCCTCCCACTATATGTTGTCTTAATACCTGTAATTATCCTCCTAGCACGTGTGGTCATTCGAATTCATTACATTCTAATTCAATACATACATAATTATAGTATAGTATTATGTATAGTATAATTATGTATGTATTGAATTGTTTGTTGTCTCCCCCGCCCCCCCAAGTGGAGTAGCCCTTCCTGAGGGATGGGACCCTGTCTGCCTGTTTACTATTGTATCCCCAGCACCAAACACGGTGTCGTGTACATATAAGTACCCAGTATTTAATAAGCGGATTAAAAGCAGCCTAGTAAGACAGGAATGGAAAGTGTGCATGAAGAAATAACAGAATCAAACACTGGAGAAGTATGCCAGGACAGAGGAGCTGTGTGGGCTAGGCTAAGGAGCTTGGACTTTATTTTGAAGAGAATGCAGGTCTCTTAAAGGTATTAAGCCTGATGAGTGGCTTTTCATATGCGTTTTAGCAAAACTAGTGTCAGGGAATGTGGAGGATTGTCATGGAGGGGGCGAAACTGGGACAGGGAGCCCCGCAGGGGCTGTTGCAGGGGCTGTCGCTGGGAAGGAAACCACCGAGTGGGAGACAGGAGACAAGGGGGGGCACTAGCCTGAGATAGGGCATGGCCGGGGGCAAGCAGGCGGGCTAGAACCCAGAATAGAACACACTCGCCTCATCCTGAGGACCTGTACAGAAGGAGGGGAAAGAATGTATCAGATGTGAGGAGGGTTTTGTGGTTTTTAATAATTGAGATGTGTGGAGCTTTTTGCCACACACATTATAGGTCATGGCCTTCATATCTTATTGTCTGATGTCACTTGCCCAGACCGAGGGGTTTCGAGTCGTAGAACTGTTGTAAAAGGACTGGTAAGATTTAGAATAGCCACTCCAGAGAATGGAAGAA